AAGAACTCACCTTGGCAGAAAAATCAGATTCATACGTAACGTGCATGAACGTGTCGGCGCGGATGCGTACTCCACACCGACTTTGGCTTTCAATCATGATGTAGGGGCTGAACCGGCGCGATGCATCATGCATCAAGGCCCACTGTAAAATGTCTCCTTTATTGACACAATGCCACACGAAACAATACCTTATGTCAATGTGCTTTGAATTTTCAGTATTTAAACCATTCTCAGCAAACGTTATGGCACTTTGGATGTCACAAAATATTTTTGTTGGACCATTTACCAAGAAATCTAAACCTAATTCTTTGCACATCATTCTCAACCACAGAACTTCCTTGGCCACTTTACACACAGACATGTATTCAGACTCAGCTGTAGATAAGGCTGTAACAGTTTGCTTCTTCGAATACCATGCAACAGCTCTACCTGCTACTTTGACAACAAATCCTAACCTCGACAACCATTCTTTCTCTGCTGTGTTGTAGTCTGCATCACAAAAAATTTCCAAACTTGGCTTTCCTCTTTGGTAAGACAACTTTAAGTCTTTGGGCCCTTTCAGGTATCTCACAATGTGAGTGACATTGTTCCAATCTTTCACCTTCGGTCCCTTGTTACTCTGACTTACAATGCTCAAAGCATATGAAATATGTGGCCTCGAACATGACAGATACATTAACTTTCCAACGACTGCTTGATAGCACTCTTCGGTATCGTAATGTTGATTCAAATTTCCATTCTTTTCATCTGCTTTAACTGGTAAAGGCGCATCCTTAGTGTTTGTCTTCTCAAATTTGAACATTGCAACAATTTCATTAATGTATTTCACTTGATCTAGAGTGATCACTTTCAAATCTTGAGTGACTCGCATACTAAAATAATGGCTCATCATTCCCAAATAGGGTTCGAGAATTACCGGTAATTTTTGTTCAAACTAAAAAACCTGGGTAAATTTCAGTAAATTACCGTTTTTTTTGAGTAATTTACTAAAAACAGCCCAATAGAAAGAATAACGCAATTTTCAACATTTTTTAAGAGTACTTGTACGATTTCCCGTTTACAATCTAGTAATTAAAGCACTTGCTTCAGAAGCACCACCGACATAGACGGACTGAATATAAAGTGAAAAGATTTTGACCCGGGAGAAGAGATACTCGTATTTGCCGCCTCTCATAAGCATTACGTAGTGCATCCTTGCGTACACCAGTGGATTCTTACGTGTAGCGTCGCTGTAGCCACTTGAAGTTTTAATGTCTGCTTTTGTGCACACTTACGAAAAGAACCTGAAATGCATGTAATTGTCTGCATTGCTAACAAAGCATTGAACCCGAAAACCTGCACAAATTGAAAAGCTTCAAGCAAATTAGAACATAAACATAAATTTGTCCACAGGAAAAATTAGAACGTTGTCAGTCAATCCATTAAAATTCAGTTGCCTTACGGCCTGTGTAAGAAAAATAGCTGCCTCTATGCGTGTATCCGGTAAAAAGGTGGAATATATGAGCAAAATAAGTCTGATTTCTAACAAATCTTGAAGTAAATTACTTTGAGGGAAAGTAATTTACCGTAATTTACTAGTTTTTTACTCAAAATTTCCCGAAATTTACTTTGCTCTCGAACCCTATTCCCAAATCGCTCATGTCCAATTTTGCGGCTCCGGTACGTTTCGCCCAATCCGTTTCACCCAAAACCACTTTTCCCAATGACATTTGCACCGAGACATTTAACCCATTGCACTTCATCCAAAAAGATTGAGCCCAATTTCCGTTTGACCCCATCCCCATAGTATTTTAGGCCCTAAACCATTTAACCCAAAATGCCACACTTGTCGTCCTTTTTTTCCCCAATCCCCTTGCCAGGACAACCACTCTCCTATTGTTGGACCCTAACAGTGGAGTGGTGAGAGGGGCGGCAACCGACATGGCACCGCATTATATAAAGTCGAAAAGGGGGAAAAACATGTTGAACAGCACCTTCTGTTCCGACCTGGAATGGCCCGGCTTATTTGCCAACGGCTTCGGCAATAACTGGCTTACCATGATGCGCGGAGGGAAAGCAAGCAACATTTTATTCGGTGATTTTCCTGTGGTGGTCGTGGGGATGTTCCTGTTATTCAGCAAAAACCTACTTATTCTAACCTGGATCACAGCACACCCCTCTTTAACAGTTAAATTGGGCTGCCCCTCTGATCACATAATTTTCTCCATAACAGATTGGAAAATTGCGGCCGCAGAAGCAATTCCAAACGGAAGCCGTAACAATTTGTAAAAACCTGTAGGGAGTATTCATAATACATTACTCTTGGGACTCCTTGGACAGGGGCAACTGCATGTATGCATCTTTTAAATCCAAACTAACAAAGAAGGCAGACTCAGCCATGTCAGAAAAAAACTCCTCCGGGGAGGGGGTAGGATAGTGGTCCACCCGCAACTGCGGGTTTAAGGTTTTCTTACAATCCACCACCAGGCGATACTTTGCCATTCTTTTTTGGCACCGGAAATGAGGGCGAATCCCACTCAGCATGTCTGACATGAACTGCCTTACCTTGTTCGACCATCTTGTCCACAATTTTATTAACAGGCTCAACAAGCGCAAATGGAGGCTTGTAGGATCTGTGCTTTACTGGAGAAGCCTTCTCTTTTAACAGTAATCTTGCTTCAAAACCTTCAACATGTTGGTCATTGTTCACATCAAAAATTTTAGGAAACGTTCCGTAACTCCTCAACTGAGGGTACACAAACAGAAACCCTAGAAATAGAAACAGGTTGGTTAAAAACATCCCTCCAACCAGGGAGTAAGGCGTCAAGCCAAGGACGACCTAACAAGGGATTTAAGAGTTTGGCATCCTGGCAAACAATTAAACATAAATTTTTGGTAATTCCATTCTTCGAAACACAAACATTGACTTCGCCGCTGACTTCAATTTCACCAGAAGCTGAAGACAACTTAGTGGGACTAGCAGACAACTTAACACTAGGAAATAACAACTTAAATTTATCCAGGGGGATGATGGATGCTCCCACTCCGTTGTCGTCGTCGGGGGGCGGAGTTGGTGGGTGCTGGGCTGGCGACGCGCGCGCCCGCCGGCGCCGCTCCTCCATGTGTTGGCGGCAGAGCGGGCAGCGTCCACACGGGAATTGGCGCTTGCGTGACATCGGCCCCGGGCAGTCCCGGCGGGCGGGCCCCGGCCCTCGCTCCGTCCGGGCCAGGAACGACCCGTTTATAGGTGGAAATAACAGGTCGTACCTCGGTGGAGCAGGCAAGTGTCGCGGGGCGGCGATGTCGTCACCCGGAGCAGGCTGCAGGATGTGTAGCTGGTCCTGCCGTTCTGGTATGTTGTCTACTTCCATCCGGGTAGCGGCAGGGAAAGGTGGGTCGGGCCTGCTGGACGGCCCTGA